CTATCAGTTATATAACCATTATGATTTGTATCGATTTCATGAAATGCTGCTTGAATTTCATACAATTGATCGACATCAAGACCGTAAATATTTGTTCAATCACTAGCGCAAAACATTAGTATTTTCGTATATTTTCACGATAGTACTTTTTACTAAATTGTCTTGTCAATATTGCAAATGCGTAAAATACAAACACCATAGTCATTTATATAATGATTCATAAAAAAGAAACAAATCATTCACCTATCTTATTTAGACACGTAGCGTCATTGTAATTTACCAAAGTTAATATCTCTCTTATATTAATAGTTGTCAATAAATATTTCTTATGTATTTCTAGTTCATTAAGTTTACTACATCTTACTATCAAAAGAATAAAAATTGCTTAATTAAACCAACTGTGAAACAATATAATGAATGTATATATATATGTTTATTTTAATAAACAGATAAACTAACTCTCGGTCAAAGTTCTATCAATTCAAATTGCAAACATAAAAATTTTTAAACAATTTTCAGTTGCTGAATTACTTAAAACAAATTAAATTATTGTTAATTCAATCAAATTCATTCATAGTAAAGAGGAAAATGAAGTCTATTTTAGGATTCCATTAGTCGCACGATTTCTTAATCTTCTGGTATTTTTCGAATATTTTATATACTAATAAAAGATAAATCTAATAAATCCCGATACCTACTTGTACATGAGTTCACTTCAGAGATTTTCAAATCGTCCTAAATTTTAATTTCTTCTGTAGGACATATATTCCAAGACTAACGAAGGATATTTTTTGTTGAATAATTTTCATATGTGCATTTTTTAAATGCCACGTAAAAATGATATTATGTTCTGAAATATAATTAAGGTATCATATTGTTATTAAACGAAAGATGTTTCATTCACTAATTTATAATAAAACTATCAATTATAGGAAATATATCAAGGTTTTAGGAATTTATTTCCGAATAAATATATCAAATTCACATATTCTAGTGATCAATGTACTGTATATGTAAGAAGATTTGATGACACTTGTTTCAATTTTAGTAATCCGATGAAGGCCATCGAAAGTGTCACATTTTTTCATATATGTGAATTATCATTTGTAGTTGTGTCCAAAAGAAACATTTATTACATCAATTTCTACAATTGATCTCAAATAACATGTTATTTCATCATGCTTAATGTTATTTTTCTTCTTCCAATTGATATGGCCTTGCATATGTAACCACTCATAGTTACTCATCAGTATTCTATAAGAAAACAACACTGCACACATTGCTTATAGGGTGAAGACATACACAAAAAACAGAACAACAACACCTTTTCTTCGCCTTACTTTAAGTAGGTCAAAAATAAATATTCTGAAGAATAAAATGAAAAAAAAGTAATTATATTCACGTTGTATATTTCTTGTAGATATTTATTCAAATCGAGATGTGTAATACTCAAGGACAATATATAGTATCAGTAAACAAGGATTTGAAAAGCAAGTATTTTGGGCATTGGGAATGAAGATATGTCCTCAATATAAAACTAAATCAATCGATAATATATTAGATTGGTAAAAGCATTCTTTTTTCTTTTATTTTGCAAACGTTATTAAATTTATGTTAAATTTGATTTCAATTGCGACGTGCGACATAATGGTGATGCTTATGGTGTTAGTATTTTTAATTGTAAAACATGTGATTTTAAAACTTCATTTCAATACGATGAAGCAGCAGACAGATATTATTATGAAATTTCAAACTAGATTCCTACTAATATTATTAGTTAATGGAAACAGAAAAAGTCTCAAATTTAATAAATAAATCAATTCAAAATAATTTACAATTTGTAAATATACATTGCTTTATGACGCAATAGTATTTTATTTACTACGTAATTCCTGTGATTCTTCTTTGATATTAACCATTTAAGTATGGCGAATATGCGGTTTTATTTTTTAAATTAAAATGTCATTTTTTAAAGTGTTTCTTGTTCGTTTATAAGCCTTTTCACAATGGAAATTGACAAGCTTCTGTCAACTGTGTATTATCTTTAGCGGTCTAATCAAATTGATTCAAATTCAATAGTGTGTCACAAGAAGACACAGTTTTTATTGATCGACATCGAATGGATATACAAGAAACAGATGTTGCGATTAATATGTCGATGTTTGTGTTGTAAACAAAATGACGTTCCACATTGATGTAATATTCTATGTAAATTTGTTTTTTGGTTCTATAACATGAGAAAATTTCAAATTTGTTACCGATTTTTTGTTTATTGACACATAAAATTATACTGTGTCATAGCCATTTAAGTAATTGATTGATATTTTTTATTTATAATCGAAATTAAATTACTTCCATTCGAACTTTTAAAATGTTTTCTATTGAATGATAAGTTTATATGATACTACTGGAACATTTTTACAAGACACTTATTATATTTGTGTCACATGAAAGTTTTTAAAATGTCCTCATTAATCATCATTTACTCGAATTCGTTTATATTTATATTTGTTGTTCTTCTCTTAATTAAGGTTCAAATTTAGAAAAAAACTTTATTTGTATTAAACAAACTCTCTTTTGATTCTTTTTGAGTCATTCAATGATTTAACTGTTTGCTTTCGATTGGTCATAAAATGATGCCAGAATCAAACTTCTAACAGATCGATGAATGTTGAAATATACTGAGTGTCATACGGTAAGGAACTACTATAGAATAACAATACGAATTGTGTCGCTTCCGAAAATAAAAATTATTTCGTAGATCATTACATTATATTGAATACCTTCTCTAAATTATTACCTATACACGTTAATATTGAATCTACTTATAAATATAAAACATTATTCGTCATCGATATTGTATCAATATTTGTGGTAGTTACAATCGAATAAGAAATTTCATTCGATTTAGATTGGTATAAAATAAACGGTTGACTCTAATAAACTTAAAACTTTGACATACTCATAAATAACAAATCAATGCTTCAATTGAAATCGAAATGATGTTCTATACGAATAAATTATTCAATTAACATCATTGATAATTTGTTTACATTCCATAGTGATGGAAAAGAAAACATCATCCTTTTGAAGATGAGAATATTTTATTTCAATAATATGTTTTCACTTTGAACGATCTTAGAAAGAATCATTGTTTAAATGTATTCATTCAGTTATTTGTTAATAAACAGATAACGGATTGAATGAAAATCATGCTTCAAACGTATTTGTCGACATATAGTTTTGTTCAATTGTTAGCGATTTCCAAGGATCATAAGCATCTAGAAGGTACTTTAATGGCTTATTCTTTGTTTTTTAAGTGGAATTTATGAAACATTTCGTCCAGGATTTAAACGACCAGTGTAGGTATTGTAAAATCGAATCACCAATTTTCGAGAAAAACTCAACAAGGCCTTTAATTGTTGCAATAGTTAATATGAGTTATTCTAATGTCGCATGATTTGATTCATTAAGTATTCTAGATTTCACCAATGATGAAATTAGTAAATAAGTGATGGATTTAGCAAAAATATATCTAAATCTGAATTATTTGTTTGCAAGAGAACTAATGATTAAAGACGAGTAAATTTATGTATATCAACAAACATGAGAAATAATCCAAATTGACCGAATATTTCATCTTCATCAGATAGCATATGTGAAATAACGTTTTAGGAGATAAATCATATAGGACGAACTTTTTGAAAAGCTTATTTTAATACTAATCTGAAATGTTAAGATAGTATTAAAGTGTTTACATACACAATGAAAGAATGAATAAAAACTTTTGTTTATCAATATTCTCAAAAATTTGTAGTAGAAACCTGTCGCGTAATACTGGTGAATATGGTATCGAGTATAATTTTTTATTGTTAAATTTTCAGAATATCTTGCACTAAGAGTAATATCCTACGTTTAAGTTTTTATGAAAACGTTACTCGACTTATTAAAAAGTTTTCAATAATTTATTTTTTATTTACCAAACCAATAGCTTGCAGACATTGCATTGTTATAATAAACAAAATCTCTTCCTTTACTTGTTAGGTTTTCAATAATATTATTGAATTGTGAAAACCAATTCCTATTTGAATGAAATGTGATACTTGAGAAATTTTCAAATTGATTAAGAATGAATTGCATTTCATGTGCACTCTCTATGTAGACTGTAAGATGTTTTACTTGATTAGACGACATTGAAGAAATTGTCTGTAAATATTCAATTAAATAAGCAGGTCGTGAAGAACGTAATTTGATTGATTGAACATTGTATGCTTTATTTAATAAATTATTAATAATCCTTTGAATATTCTGAAACGATTGTCTATTTAAGTCTAAAGTCAATGAAAGTGTATAAAGATGCGAAAAATCGATAAGTCTTAATAAATAATCAATAAAATCATTCGAAAACTCGTTAGTAATCAAGAGCGCTAATTTAGTTACGCTTGAAAATAAGGGACGATTTCGTAGTAAATTCTAAAAATAAATAAAAATAAAATGAATTTCTATATTTATGTAATGAACGCTAGCTATAGAAAAAGAATTCTATTGGAAATAAAAAAGATTTCTTTGAATACACCGATTTGAATTTCGACAAATTCTGTATAAAAGAAAAAGCTGTTATCTCAATCTCTGTGGAATTAAAAATGTGAAACACGATGTTGTTGCTTTTGCCAATCATAGAAAAATGGTTTTATTCTATATATTTTTGGACAAATTTCACCATCTGTTTACTTAATCTGTCGGAAATGTAATACGGTAGTAGTTCATATATCATAATGAGATTTTACTGATCTATGGTCTGTATATCAACGTCTGTCCCATTCTGTAAAAAGAAATGAAGAGGTTCAAATTTTTTACTTCTGTACTTCAACATTCCTGTAAGACTATGTTTCACAAACACCTTGTGTCTGAGGAAATTTTTCAAATAATAGAAAATATGCGAGAAGAACATAATAATTTGCAGATTCGATTTGAATTATACATAGAGATTTCGAATAAGATTAGAAACCAAGAAAAAAAAAGCATACGTTATCACAAGTAATTGCTGTTGATGGAATTGAACTCAAACTTAATGAACGTACATTATCCATTATATATGGTGCATCATTTGTTAAATTTGAAGAAGAAATTTTATCTGTTGTACATACATATGATATATTTGATTTACATATTGGTATTGAATATAGTAGTAATTTATGTATTTTTTTATAATAATTACATGTGACATACCATTGTTTTTCTAGCCAGAATGATGTTCGAAATGGTATCATTATTGATTCAATATCATAAGTAGTTTCTTTATAATCTATCATCTTTTCAAAGAAAAACTCAAATAGTTTGAGTTGAGTTAGATTCTTTTGAAAGAATTCTGTCCACCAATAGCCATTCCATGAATATTCAGACATCGTTGGCCATGCTATGAGTTTAAGATGAATTAATGATGGTGTCAATGACAAAATTGATATAATCATATTCATACACAAAGAATAGCCTTCAACAGTCAATGATTTTAGTTTTGATTCTATTTTAATATTAGTAGTCAAATTTGCGTCAATGTTGGACGTAGAAACACTACTTAATATTAATGTTTTTAAATGAGAAAAATGAAGAAGAATATCAGATATTGGAATGTTTAGAATACACCGAGTAAGTGTCATATGTTGTATTGGATATTGCATGTTACCAATTGTTAAATAAGTCGTAGATAAATCAAGTTTGTGAAGATTGTTGAGTTTTTCCAGATTTGATGAGAGAGATTCATTTGTTGCAGCGGTTGACCTCTGCATATTTCGATAATCAATAGAAAGTGAAACAAGCGAACATAATCTAATATGTTTTAAATATTCAATTGAGTCTGACTCACTAACTTGAATAAGAGTTAAAGAACGAAGTCGAATAAACATAGATAGGTCAAACAATGAAAGAAATAATCGAATTTGACCAGATGTTTTATGTCCATCAGATATAACAAGAGAAATAACATTTTCCGGTTGAATAAAATGATGTATGAGACAAAATTTTGGTTTTGTCATTGCACGAAAATCGAGTTGATATTGATTGTACTTATGAACGATTGAACGAAAAGATTTACAAACATTTCGAAAAGAAAAAAATACGGTTTCTGTATCAATATAATCAATGATCCGCTGTAAAAGTTCGATAGGTAAGGCCTGTAAAGTTAAAGTAGACATTGATGTAAATGATTGAGTTGTCGATATGTTAGTTTTCTTTTTTCCTTTGATTGTGTAATGACTGAAGAAAAAAAACTGAAGTGTTGACTTATTTTTGTAGACCAAAAGAATACGAAAAGGAAAGAACGTGTTCTTTTCTCTCTGTGTTAATATAATTTTAATTTGGTCATAAAAGCTTGCACTTGTTTTTTACTATCAAACCTTATACGTTGATTTCTTTTTCGCGGAATTTCAGAAGAAGAATCGAAAAACTTACTCAATTTTTATAATGTGCAAGATGTTCAAATTGAATAAATCATCACAATATAATCTATAGACTTGATCAACTTCTCATGACGAATTAAATCATTACGAAATAATCTAGAGTAAACAGATGAAAAATCACAATTTGAAATTAATGAATCAGATATTCTAGTATGCTGAATGCTTTTAGAAAAAAATAAAATACTTTACTCTGCGGCATAAAAAAAATATCTTGTGACTAAATAAATTAGTAAATCGCGTGTAAATTTATTGCAGAAAAGTTTATTTTAATTATAAGAAAAAACAAAACAGACCGTCAGCGATTTTGTGAATGATTTTTTTCGAACGCTTAATGCATCTAACGAGTAAGCTAAACTTTTTGAGACCAAATATTTGTTTATTTTTGGCTTTGTTGAAAGTGTTTCTGATGTGTCAAAAGCTATGGATTAGGACCAGCATATTGTGCACATTCCGAATATAATCTTAGAAAATTTTATCTCAGTTTTTGTTCCAGAGTAATAAAGTAATCTTTGAAAGATCCAAAAACTGCGTATGGACGAAATCCTTTTCCGCACATTTTTGTATTTTCACTATTGCTTGAAATTGTTTTTCTCTTTCACCAAAACACTATAATTTTCTTTGTTCCTAAATACTAACTTTTGAAAAATCGAGGACTGTTCTACGTTAAAAGAGCTCTTGAAAAAATACTTGTAGCCTTATTCAGGCCACGGCTGCAGCTTAATTCAATATCACATTTTGTAGAGAAGTGTTCGCTCCACAAAATGATCGACTCTGACAATTTTTAGCATCTTCGAAAAGAAGCTTATAGAGTAAAAAATACTGATTGACTCTTCATCAAAACTGACTTTTCGGTTTTCTTCAAAAAGTCCCTCACTACTTTTGCACTAAAATAAACACAATATTTCCAAGCGTATATACGATTTCTGATCCGGACCTACAGTTTTTGGCTCATTGAAAATATTTTCAAACAGGTCAAAATGAACAAACATGTTCAACAGAAATGTCGCCTCACAAGTTCCATCCAAACTAATTGTTGGGGTTTCAAAGATTATTTCCCTACTCTCGAGCAAAAGCTAAGACTACACTTTAAAGCCTATATTCGAAAATAGCATCTTGACTCATAGTTTTTGATTCGTCGGAAATATTTTCTAGCGAGTTAAAAGTTAACAAACATCTTGTCTAAAACCTTTCCGATCACACGTTAATATGAATTGGGAAGAGCATCTCATGTTAACAGAATAGCAATTCAAACAGCATATTAATTGATTCAATATTTCTAAGAAAGACAAGAAAATGAATAAAGATAAAAATACAACTGAAGAAATCCTCTTTTTTTTATATAGGCCGTATGATTCATTGTAGACAAAAAAATTAACTGCACAGGAAAATATCATTTCTTTTTAATTTCTCTTCTGTATAGAGGAGTTATTACTAATCGATCCAATCTGTTTGATTAGTGACCAGTTACAGACAGCATGACAAGTTTTCACGTGAGAAAATAAATCAATGTAATTTTCTGAAAGAACTCTTTTACAAAGTAAATAAGTTTGTTTGTCCGCATTGAGTGAGTTTCTGGAAATTTTATTTCATTTGGTCATGAACAATATGAATGCATGAAAATATGGAAAATTAAGAATAACCACCGTTCTTCAATTCATACAATAGAAAGAAAACTTATTTAAATGCCATACGATCAAAATGCTATTAATCAATTTTATCAACAATAACAAACATCATGCACTGTTCTCCTGTATTTTTCCGAATGATTGATAAGAAACCAATAGAGATCATTTATATACATTTAAAAAAAGCTTTTTTTACTAATAGGCTGGTATAAAAATTGCATACAAGAAACAAATAAATAGTAGTTCAATATTACAACATAAGTAGATGATCAATTGATTTTCTCAGCTCGATTTAAACGTTGACGTGGTTGTGATGTGATCACACTATAAATTAATATATAATTATCTTTTCAAAAAATAACAAATGTAAAAGAAAAAACAAACAAAATAAACAGTTTACTTACCCACCACCACGACCAGGACAACAGCAATCTAGTGGAATACAAACGATACAATCAACAGGACCACAATCACAACACAACTAAAATTAATTTAATTAAAAAAAGAAAACAAAGTAAATCATAAATTTGGTGCTCTTACCGGTAGACACATGCTTTATTCGTTCGCTAAAATAAAATCGACAATGACAAAATGAACAAATACACTTTTTCGTCTTATTAATATTCGTTTTTTAACCTTCTTACCCAAGAAGATACACCTACATGCTTTTATTCTTTCTATTCTATCTTATGTATCTCTCTCAGGGACAAATGTATGATTTATCGAAGAAAAGAATAATGACACATCATGATCCTTTAAATCACATCTATAGAAATAAATCAAATAGTAAAATAAACCACGCGGTAAAAGCATCCCTATAGAATAAATAATATATGATTCAACTTATTTCGTTCTTTATTTATCTATGCATATTATGAACTATTGTTTTAGGATCTTTTATCTTTCATAAACGAAGTATGCAGTGTCGTTTATATTACTGTCAACATCCAATTCGATTACTACAGGTCGTTGTTCGACAATTATCAAGTTCAAATCGAGAAAAAACTATTTATCATAATTCAACAGAAGAACAAAAGGCAAAATGGTATCAAAATGGACTTCATCGTCCATTGTTATCTGGTACAAGTACTTTTGAAAAACGTAATATTTTTCTAATGTTAGTTTGTTTTTACAAAATTAAATGAATATATTTCTAAGAATTATTACTTATTAAAGGGGACCTCCAGGTAGTGGAAAAACAAGTGTTGGACGTGAATTAGCTCGTTTAATGAATAAATCTCTTATTGATGTTGATGATAATTGGCTTGAGCCACGATGGAAAACGAGTGTAGCATCAAAATTAATTGAACTTGGTGATGAACAATTTCTTGAAGCTGAAGGTCGTGAATTATTAGCGATGAATCATCAAAATCATATTATATCATTAACGGGTTCAAATCCATTACATACTCAATCGATGGAACATCTTTCTCGACTTGGTATATTCGTTTATCTGGATGCATCACGTGAAACAATTTTAAATCGTTGTGAAATGATGCGTGTTGATCGTATTGTTGGACAACGAACGAAAACATTGAATGACATACTTGCATGGCGTGAACATATTTATGAAAAATCATATGATTTAAGAATTATTATAGGTAAAGATGAAACACCAATTGATATAGCAAAAAAAATTTTAAATCAACTTGAACAACAATCAAAATTCTATGAAAGTACTAGAAGTGGATATCCAAAGAAAAATCAACAATTTCTTGATATTGTTCAACAAGGACTTGCACCTGATGGTGGACTTTTTGGTAAGAAGAATTTTGAGAAAAAAATAACAATTATTATTATTCATCTAATTTATATATAGTTACTCGTTCATTCTGTCGTTTATCTCTTGGTGAATTACAACGTTTAATTGGTTTATCATATCCTGAAATAGCTTTACGTATTATGGAACGATTTTCACTTGGCACACTTCATCCATCTCATTTACGTTCTTTACTTTGGCAAGCTTATTCAACATTTAATGAACAAGTTTTACCAGTTCGTCATCTACGAAAAAATCAATATTTAATGGAAACTTTTCATGGACCAACAGCATCATTTAAAGATTTAAGTCTTCAATTATTACCTCGTTTAATGCAAGCAGCAACAGAATTAATATCAAAAGATAATAATAAACCAAATCGTTTAGGTCTTCTTGTTGCTACTTCAGGCGATACAGGTTGTGCAGTACTTGATGCTTTTGCACGATTACCTGGTACACCTGTTATTGTTCTTTATCCAAATACGGGTGTATCTATTATACAAAAAGCACAAATGCAAACAGCATCCGGTGACGTTTGTATTTTAGGTGTTGATGCTGATTTTGATTTTTGGTAAATAGTTTTTAAAATAATTTTAAGTATTATTATGTATTCATTATTAATTTTAGTCAAACAATGGTTAAAGATCTTTTTAATGATAAAAAATTTCTTTCTGATATTAATCAATTTTTACCTGATCTACATCTTTCATCAGCTAATAGCATTAATTGGGCACGTTTTTTACCTCAAGTTGTATTTACAATAAATTCTTATTTACAACTTATTGAACAAGATGTTATTAAGTTAGGTGATTTAGTTGATGTTTGTATTCCAACAGGTAATTTTGGTAATATGCTTGGTGCTATTTATGCTCGACAATTAGGTTTACCTGTTCGACATTTAATAACAGCATCAAACGAAAATAATGTTATTGCTGATTTTATTCGAACAGGATCATATGATTTACGTAATAGATCATTTCAAAAAACAATTAGTCCAAGTATTGACATATTAATTAGTTCAAATCTTGAACGATTTATTTATTTATTATCAAATGGAAATTATTCAATGATTCAACAATTATTTAATAAACTTTCAAATGATCGGTATTTTGATATTACTTCTAATTTATTAAAACAAATTCAATCAGAAATTCAAGGTGATTGGACAAATGAAAATGAATGTATAGATACGATTAAAAAAATTTATTATGAAACACAACAATTAATTGATCCACATACAGCTGTTGCTGTACATGTTGCTGAAAAATTTTCAAAACAAGATAATGTGCCAATACTTATTTCAGCTACAGCACACTATGGCAAATTTCCTCAAACAATATTAAAAGCAACTG